ATAATAAAACAATGTCAAAATTGTGTGACCTTTTTACCACAAGTTAATCTTGGAGTCAATCCTAGAGGACTGATACCTAACGATATTTGGCAGATGGACATCACACACTTGCCAGAATTTGGAAAATTAAAATATTTACATGTTACAGTTGATACTTCTTCCAGATTTTTGATGGGCTCCCTTCATGCCGGAGAAAAAACTAAAGATGTTACAGCTCATTGCTTACAAAATTTTGCCACTGTGGGCGTTCCTAAACAGTTGAAAACAGATAATGGTCCTGGTTATACCTCTACCTCTTTTAAACAATTTTGCTCATCATTTGGCATTACTCATATAACAGGAATCCCATACAATCCACAGGGACAAGGCATAGTTGAAAGAGCTCATCAAACTATTAAAACGTACTTATTAAAGCAAAAAGAGGGAATTGGAAAAGGGTATATATCCCCCAAAGATAAATTTAAAATAACCCTTTTTACTCTAAACTTTTTAAATTTGGATTCATCAGGACTTAGTGCTGCGGAAAGACATATGTATCCGAAAAATGTACATAAGCCCACTTTGGAAAGATATTCTAACAGGACAATGGAAAGGTCCTGACCCAGTGATTGTCTGGAGTCGGGGTTCTGTTTGTGTTTTTCCACAGGGAGAACAGCAGCCGATTTGGATTCCAGAGAGATTAACTAAAGCAATTTCTACAGACCAAAAAGAAGATGACTTGACTCAAATGCATAACAGCTGATATCCAGAGCTCCAGCTTGGCTATTCTTACATCTGCGACAGTGATTAACCAGGGTGCTTTTTTCAATATCTATTTTATTATTGCATTTTTCCCACATCATAAAGTTCTATTTTATTTTTGAGCTCATACAAACCTAGGTTAATGTTTTTCTGATCAGTTTTATTTTTTGACTGTGTTTTATTTTTTGACTGTGGAGTTTTTAAACATTGCAATGGAGATTTCACCTAGGTAAAGCTACAAGGCCTTTACTATTGTCTTATGTGTTGAATGTTACATGTGCACACTTGTGTTTTGTGTTGTATGTCTGTATGTGCATATGTCCATAGATCATATATGAGGAGCGCTCATGAAAAAATGGATCCAAATTATTTTTTTATTATTCACGTGATTTCAACGGTTTAATTTAATTAGGTAAACAGCTGTTAAGGATTGTTTTTAAAGGTGGTTAACAGATCTGTTTGTTTACTTTCACCTTTCCTTTAATTCTGTTCAGGATAATGTCTCTTTAGCATCTTTGCCAGAATTCCCATCTCCATCCCAGTGCCGGTGAAGACTAAGATAAAACCAAACTACAGCTTCTATAATAGCTATCACAGTAAACTGTATAAATTGATGCATCAATGAATATAACTCAACAAGTAATGCTCAATCAAGGACTCGATTTACTTTGGGAGGAAATGGACATATTGATAGACTCCTCCACTTTGAACTGCTTGCAGAACTTGCCTGGACTATATATCACTTGTATGCATTGTGAACTATCATTTGATGCAGCGAATTGTGGTAGTGCTGGCATATCTTTGCTGATGGTGTCACCAGTGATGCAATTTTTCCAAAGGAGCCGTCAACTGGCTTGGTGTCGTGGCGTTTCTGTATCCTCCTCCCTTCTGCTAGTGATGGTCTAAAATTTGGGGGCCAACAGAGGTGAGGCAAAGAACCTCACCCCCCCACTGGCACCAAGGCTAAATTTGGGGGCCAACAGAGGTGAGACAAGAACCTTACCCCCCCCACTGGTGCATAGGCCTATCCACAAGTATGGCTGTATGCTGGACCGGTAGTCAGTGACGGGTATGATCCAACTGCAGTGGTATCAACCTAAGACAGGAGGCTGACGCCTAGAGATCAGTTTTTCCCATGACGGGTAAGAACCATATGTTAAATTGGACAACCTACCAGGCACGGTCCTTAAGCCACATTGCTTGTTGTTTAATTAATCAGAAGGGGGGAGATGCTGAGAGCCATTGCCAAGTAGGAATGACGCATCGAAATTTCCTTGCCAGCGTACCCCATGTTGCTTAGAGGAAGGAGTCGTGGAAATGGACTTACCTTGGACATTTGCTGTGACATTGCATGTATGTTTGAGAAAGGTTACCCTGCTCAAGGACCAGGGTGGATCCTACTGGATTAGGGCGGATCCAGGTTTAGAGTGTACCCTGCTGGAAATAGGGAGTATCCTGCTGCCTCAGGCACACCCAATCCTTGAGTTCCCCTATCCTTGAGTTCCCATTGAGTTCTTGTGGGATTCAGAAAGTATTTGGGATTCAGTGCCTGGTGGAGTACGTGAATTTTGCATCAGAACGTGAATTTCCCCAGAACGTGTTTGTAGAGGGCTGGTATGAGTTCGGGAATAAAGAATTGCTGTTTGAATCTACAAAGCTGTGAGTGGCACGTGATTTTGTGCCCAGCCAGACTGCGGCACAGCCTGACCGTCAGGCAGACTCCATCCGGGCCTCAACCCTGCATGTGCACAAGAAACTGGTATAAGCAAGCAGGGACCCAACTGAGGATATAGGCAGTGACATGGACAAGCTCAAAGTGCTATGCCCAGGAAAAGAGGAAAAACAAGCACATGCTGCATCATCACTTATACAAAGTACTAGAAATCTAATTTACAGTGTGACAGATCAGTGGTTGCTTGGGGAAAGGAAGATTTCAAAGGGGCAGGAGAAACTTCTGAGGTGACGGATATGTTCCATTTTGATTGTCAAGTCAAACTTATCAAATTGCCACTTTAAGTATGTCCAATTTACTGTGGGTCAATATAACTCAACAAAGCTGCCAAAACCAAACAAAACACTGCTACTTCAATGTCCTGTCATTGAAAAATCAAGATATTTAAACCAAAACTTTCTCTATTTTTCCACTTCTGCTATTTCTACCATCCATTTCTCTCAAAAACCCTCTAAAACAAAAACAAAAAAACTTTCCCCCTCCCCCTTCACTAACTGGCCTCCTAGACAGACTTCCTGCTTCACACCCCAAGCCTGGAGGCCTTGTGTCATCAGCCATCTGCTGGTCCCTCTGATGTCACTCTCTCCCTCTCCAATACACCCTGCACATTACCTGCAGAATGAGAATCTTTAATACTTTCTTCATAATATTTCCTGATAAAAATCTCAAAACCTCCTGTTGTCAGGCTGCTGTCTGACGGCATGCTACCTGGCCTCTCACTTTAAGTAGGCCAGCGCCGAGCTCTTGTCAGGCACATTCCCCTCACCCAGTCTTTGTCAGTGCCCCTTCTCTTCACCCCTCTCCCTCTTCCCTAAACAAACTCCAAGCTCAGTCCTGGAGATTCCTCCTCCCAGCGGGCTCTCCAGCTGGCTCTGTTCCCCGACCTAGACCCTCTAGCACTAAGTGCTGTACAACCCAGCACTCAATTTCACTTTGAAACTATTGCAGTATGTCAACCCCATATCCCCAAAGAGAAGACAACTCCTCATAGTTTAGATGTGTGCACACACACACATTTGTGTGTATGCACAAATTCATATACATAAACACATACACAATACACACACACTCAGAAAGCTGAGCACACATCACACTGTAGCAACACATGCACACCATGTTTATAGCAGCACAATTCACAACAGCCAAAGTACGGAAGCAGCTTAGGTGTCCATCAACAGAAGAATGACATCGTGTCATTGGGGGGGGGGGGCGTCGCACACTGAGTGACCAGAATTTTCCTTCTGGGATCGGTAGAGCTCTGTCGGTCACTTTCGTAGTGATCTGGTCACTTTCGCAGAGACCCTAGACAGCTGCCCTAATCCTCAAAGTAGCAGAATGTGTCTTCAGGCATAGGTGCGCCTTCCTGCAGCCCCAGGGGTTGAGCTACACTCACCTGTTCCTTTGTGATATTACCCCTTTGCCCTGTTTGGGATAGAATGTTCCATGGAAACACCCTTTGTGTGTCCCCTTCTCTTGATCTGCCTTTGGGTGTGGCCTTCCTAGATGTCAACTAGCCTGCTAACAGCAGACATCGTGAAAATAAGACTCAGCTCCCTGACACCTGACCCCTTGCCTCATTTGAATGGCTTCTCCTCAATAAATGTGTCAGCACGTGTTCCTCGCTCTCTTTCTGTAGACCCTTAAGGTCAGAGGAGCCGTCACAGGACCCTCAAAGAAAAAGGTATCTCTTGTCTCTTGTGTGGGGTTATTTCACGCAGCCCAGTTCCCCTGGAGGGACCCTGAGTGTTTCTGTCACCAGGAATGCGGCAATTGTGCATGTAAATGAATGGAACTTGAGAATATTATGTTAAGCCAAATAAGCCAAATCAGAAAGTCAAGGATAGCATATTTTCTCTTGTATGTGAAAACTACAGAAGAAAAAGTTAAAGAAAGGTAGGCCGGGGGGAACTCATAAGAACAAAAGACCAGGGCTGGGCTGGGGCTCAGAGGTACAGCGCTTGCCTAGCATGTGTGAGGCACTGGGTTCACTCCTCAGCACCACATTAAAATAAAATATTGTGTCCACCTATAACTTAAAAAAAAAAAAAATCAATAGAGTACAGGAAAGGAACCCGATGGGGAAGTGGGAAGAAGAGAGAAAATACTGGGGAGTGATATTGGCCAAATTATATCATGTGCAGATATGAATACCTAACAACAAATTCCACCATGATGTACAAATATAAGGCACTAATTTAAAAAAAAAGCTAAGCACAAGTAGGTGATTAGTTCTTACCTTTGAATCCACTGTACTTCTTTTAGACTTTCCACCATCTAGAAACACAAACATTTAAAAAATATTACTGCATGATCCAGCTCTCATATAAACACACACACACATACACACATATATACATACATATAAAAAGATAGTATAATTTTATGAGGCTCCAGATTCTCTAATATCAAATACTAGAAACATTCCTGGTTGGGTGTGTGACACACATCTATAATCCCAGTGGCTAGGGAAGCTGAGGCAGGAGGATTGCAAGTTCAGAGCCAGCTTCAGCAACCTGGCCAGGCCCTATGCAACTCAGTGAGACCCCGTCTCAAAATAACAAAGTGGGGCCTGAGGCCGTGGCTCAGTGGCAGAGCGCTGGCCTAGCATGTGTGAGGCACTGGGTGCGAGCCTTAGCACCACGTAAAAATAAACAAATTAAGGCATTCTGTCCATCTACAATTACAAAATAAATAATTAATTAAATAAATAAAATAACAAAAAAGGGTTGGGGATGTGTTTCAGTGGTTGAGTGGCTCAGGAATTCAGTACCTCTGGGTTCAATCCCAGATACAGGGGGGAAAAAAACAACAAAAACAACATTCCTCTGAATTAAGCTCACAGGTAAGACAAACAAAGAAACCTTGCAGACTGCCATCTTCTCAAGTCACAAAAGACAATTTTTGAGCAGCAGAAGCAAGAAATTAAAGTGTGTTACAATTGTTATCAAATAAATGGTAATAGAACAGGAGAATTCACGTCTTTGTTGTGTGCGGTACTAGGAAATGCATTGGGAGTGGGGGGGGGCATTTTATCCCTGAACTACATCCCCAGCCCTTTTTCTCTTCTTGTTCTTCTTCTTACTCTTCTTCTTCTTCTTCCTCCTCCTCCTCCTCCTTTTTAATATTTTTTAGTTACAGATGGACACATACCTTTATTTTATTTATTTATTTATATGTGTTGCTGAGGATAGAAACCAGGGCCTCACACGTGCAAGGTGGGTGCTCTACCATTGAGCCATAACTCTAGCCCTCTTTATTTTCTTGCTAAATTGCCAAGACTGGCCTCAAACTTGCAATCCTCCTGCCTCATCCTCCGGAGTAGCTTGGACTACAGGTGTGTGCCACCACACCCAGCTGTAGGGAACTCTTTTCTGAATAAGCTAGTGCATGCTATTGCCCAGCAATGAAACAGGAATAATTTTCCTTATTTTCTACATAATTATGTTTGAAAATAATAATTGTTTTCAAAAATCATATATTAGATCTACTTAAACACATGGAAAAATTAATCACAAATAATTATTAGTGTGATGTATGCTTTTTTGGCAGTGATAGGGACACAAATCCAGGATCCTGTGCTGTGGGGTGGGCTCTCTGTCGCTGAGCCTCACCCTCAGCCTGTACTGCACATATTTTAATTTTCCCCTCATAGCAAGGAGTGTCACAGTTGCCAGCAGCTTCCTTCACAGAACACAGTGGTGTCTGTGCCGCTTTTAAGGTTACACAAAAACATGACCACCAAGAAAAATGTGAAAAATACAGAGAAAATGGAAAAAGAGGATCTTAACCTAAGATCCTCAGGGTAAGGGAGAGTTTCAGAATAACAAGAACAACAGGGCATTTTCTGCCCAGAGAACAGTTCTGAGAGCACAGGAACCTATATCGGAAGGAGATAGTGCACTGATACAAATGTGATACTTGTGTCTTTTTTTTTTTTTTTTTTTTTTGGTATCAAAGATTGAACCCAGGGGCTGGGGATGTGGCTCAAGCGGTAGCGCGCTCGCCTGGCATGCGTGCGGCCCGGGTTCGATCCTCAGCACCACATACAAGCAAAGATGTTGTGTCCGCCGAGAACTAAGAAAAAATAAATAAATGTTAAAATTCTAAAAAAAAAAAAAAAAAAGATTGAACCCAGGGGCACTTTACCACTGAGCCACATCCCCAGCCCTTTTGTTTTTATTTTGAGACAGCATTTCCCTAAGTTGCTGAGGCTGGCCTTCAACTTGTAATCCTCCTGCCTTAATCATCTCAGTAATTTAGTGAGCTTCTGTCTCAAAATAAAAAAATAAAAAGGGCTGAGGATGTAGCTCAATGGTAGAGCAGCCCTGGGTTCAATTCCCAGTACAAACTAAAGAAGTAGCCCTCCAGTGCAGCAATACTGGCAACAGTGTGCATGAAGTGGAAGTGTCTCTTCTTGGGGAAGGGGTGGGCAAATAATAGAACCTGACTAATGGAATATATTAAAGTTAAGCAAAGAGGCATGTGTGGAAAATTATGAGCATGACTATGAATTTTAAGACAGAGGCTCTAGACTTAGGAAACAAGCTTATTAAGGAAACAGAAGTTACTAAGATTCTAACCCTGGGAGTAAGAAGAGACAATAGCTTTTCCCATTTTCTCTGTATTTTTCACATTTTTCTTGGTGGTCATGTTTTTGTATAATCTCCAACATAAAACTGTTCTAAGACTGTTGTCCTAGGGCTGGGCTTTGGTTCAGTGGTAGAGCCCCTGCCTAGAGTGTGCGAGGCCCTGGGTTCAATCCTCAGCACCAACTACAAATAAATAAGTTAATTAAATAAAGATATGGTGTCCCACTACAGCTAAAAAATTTAAAAAAAAAAAAAAAAAAGGCTGTTGTCCTAGTTGTTGTGCCTCATGCTTGCTTTCACTCAGAAACCCCGCTCCCCAAGTGGGCCCTCTGCACAGCTCACCTAGTGCCTGCTGAGTGTGGTTGCCAGCTGGGATGGCAGCGACACCTGGCTCCTGACTCTGGCCAAGGGCTTTCTCATCCTTGCTGAAGATGATCTTTGGTAACTGGGTACCAGCTTCTGGTGGAGACTTGATTTTTACTCTATATCCAAACAAAACAGAGGGGGAAAGTTCAAAGAAGTGCTCCCAGCCATATATTCAGTGCCACACAACAGTTCTCCTGACAAGCTCATACCCTCGCAGACCCGCGACTCCGGGCAACGTCCTACCATGAAGGTCCTACTGCCCACAGTTCACAGAGGCTGGAACGAGGCTCAGAAAGGTTCAAGAATCTGCTCAAGAGCACAAAGCCAGGAAGCAGCCAGGTGACGAACCCAGTGGTCCCTTTCTAAAGCTAGAATTCTTAGCAGCCACATGATTCTGCAATAGATATATCCCCCTAAGTATCATTACTATGCTCAGCAAATTGATACCCAAGGGAAGCCTCAGAGGGCTAAGTGTACTATTAATTGCCTGTCTAATATCCCTTTCGAACCCTTTTTTTTTTTTTTTTTTTTCCGCTGTCCTAGGGATTGAACCCACAGGCACTCTACACTGAGCTACATCCCCAGCCCTTTCTAAATTTAATTTTGACACAGGGTCTTACTAAGTTGCCCAGGCTGGCCTTGGACTTAGGATCCTTCTGCCTCGGCCTCCCAAGTCACAGGGATTACATGCATGTGCCATCAGGCCTGGCTTACCTTCTCTCTTCTTAAGAGACCCAATTTTGTTTAGTCCAAGGCTCCCCCAGAGGGGCTGGTGACAATTTCCATGCCTGAGTGAACACATGACCTAAACTGGCACATGCAAGCTCTCTAGAGCTGGCTGGGGGAGAAGTATTCTGTCTCTTTTCCCCTTGGCTGGACAGGAATAAGGAAGCAGAGCCATCTGGTGAGGAAGAAGCGGATGCTAAGGAGGGCGGAGCAGAGATGCCATCAGCAAGCCACAGTGGCCTGCCCCCACCAGCCGCTCCTCTGGACTTCCAGGCAGGCAAGACGATCACTATCCTCACTATCTAAGCCAGGCTAAGTCAAGTCTTGCTGCTGGCTGCCAAACTCACCCTAGTTAGCACAAGAGATAGCCAGATTCAATTTTCTTAAATGAAAACAGAGCCCGGGCCGAGACTGGGGCTCAGTGGTAGAGCTCTCATCCGGCATGTGTGAGGCACTGGATTCCATTCCCAGCACCACATGAAAATAAATAAGAATAAAAAAAGGTATTGTGTCCATCTACAACTAAAAATACTTAGAAAAATAAAATGGCTAAAATGGTAAATTAAAACACAAAAAGAAACAGAGCTTGCCACAGGGATGCTCGCTGCCCAGCGTCCATGGTGGTTCACAGCAGCACTGTCCACTGCAAGTCCACCCTCTGGGGGCTGCTGTGATCTGCTGTGACAGAAATCCTGAACACACTACCTCACCCTGACTCCTCTGAAGTCTCCCTCAAAATCACACACAGCAAACGTACGAAGTGACTAGGTGGAAATGGGCTGAACCTGACAACACAAAGTCCCCTGCTTCACCCAAATGCAAAAGTTTTAAAAAGACTAAATGGCCAGAAATCCTCACCAACAATCTTTCTTGGTCTTTGTTTGGTTTTGGTTTTTTGCAGTGCTGGGGAGGAAACCCAGGGTTCCCGTGTGCTGAGCAGGTGTTCTACCCCCCTGCCACATCTTGCCACTCACCAACAATCTTGGTGGGCAGAAACCATTACTATGAAATCGGCAGGACACTGAACCCGGAGTCACACAGCCAGTGAGTAGCAGAGCCAGGCCCTGGACCCAGTCCTGTTTCTTTCCACGTTCCCCTCCAACTTACTCTCCATCAATACCAAGCTCAGCTAACAGACGCACCCCCCTATCTCCTGCCACGCCACCATTACACAGCCGGCTCCTTCTACGGGGAACGCACTCCCTTTTCTCACCAGAGGCCTCCCCTCCCCTTCCTCCCTCCTGACTTTCTCTTCCCTTCCACCCCACCCTGCTCTCTTCTGCCTGCTGCCCTCTGTCTCCCCGACTAATCCACACACTGCTGGGGGAGTGTCCGCCTCCCTCCTCTTGTACACTACTTGGCACATGGCAGACACCCAGCAAGTGGCAGTGTGCTCCCAAACAGCCTGACTCCATCCAGGGGTGAATGAAGAACATGAGAATTACTTACTCACTTCTGGAGAGGTCTAGGATTAGAAGGGTGACAGAGACAGACTGTTTCCTTAAAATGCAATAGTTTACATCTTCATCCTGAGAAAGAAGAATCAACTGTGTATATCCAGTTCATCCCCAAGAGCAAGAACACAGCATTTTAAAAAATAAGGCCAACAAGCAGCTCAGCCTGCATCCAAACAGTGAGCCTGCTGGGGACTTCAGAAATGCCCAAGAGCCAGACCAGCCACCCCTGTAGGAAACATGGCTAGGGGCCTGCTCTCACTCACTGTCCCGGGCTCCAGTGGAGACAGTGATCAGATTGCCACTTAGTACTCACCAGGTAGGAAGAAAAGCCATCATTCTTTGTACGGTCCAAGCTGAATCCGATCTGAGGGGAGATGGGGGTGGGGGTAAGAAGAGAAGCAAACATCTACAATGCCCCACCTTTCTTACTCTACAGAACAGAGAGGGAGGCACTTTAGTGTTAGGGTCTGTAAACAATTAGGCCTGGGTTCCTCAGCATTTTCTTACCATTCACTTTGTAACAAGGTGAGGGCTGCTTGACTCAAATCACCAATCGCTACATTTATTCAAGAACCACAACTTAAGTATTGAAAGGAAACTTGCCAGGCACAGTAGTGCAGGCCTCTAATCCCGCAGCTCAAGAGTCTGAGGCAGGAAGATCGTCAGTTCAAAGCCAGGCTCAGCAACTTATCAAATCCCTAAGCAACTTAGCAGGACTCTCAAAATAAAGGCTAAGGCATTGTAACTCAGTGGTAGAGCCCTCCTGGGCTCAACTCTCAGTACCAAAAACAGAAAAGTCAAACTAACTGATGCCTAACATGCACATTGAACTCATCAGCTTGATTCTCTCCCTGTTCTGGTGTCCTGTGTATAAGCATGGGATGGCAGGGGAACCCTCACCCAGGCCAACACGGTACTCACAATTGTATCCTTGTCCATGACTCCTTCAGGGTCATGCACGGAGAGGCTACTGACGTTGACCACCATGTACCCATCCTTGAAGAACCCAAAGGTGTTCAGGTGAACTTTATGTCTCACATCATCCTAAAGAGATTTGTGGGGATGGAATTACTAATATGGAAACGATGATTTAATCTATTCATTTGCTTGAAAACCTATGGCATCTAGTTTTCTACTAGGCAGCCATGCTCCCACCATATGCTCACTGACACACATATGCTGAGGTAAGTTATCTGTCTTCAAAAGCTGAAGATGACTCCTGAGAACTTTAGAAGGTGCGGAGTTTTGCAGAGGGATGCACACAGCGGCTCCAGTTCACCCCAGTGCACTTGTTTTGGTTCTGGGACAGATTCTGTGGTCAGGGGGAACAAGAAGCCCAAGGCAGGAAGAACCACATTTTAGGCATGCTCCAAATCCTCAATAGTACAAAGCCTGGCATCCAGTGGGCACTCAAAATGTGCCAGGGAGAGGGAGGACAGGAATGGCAAAGGCTACTCCAAGAATATGCTCGTTTACCTACATCTCCGCCATCTCGCTCCTCCCACTGCAGGATGGAGATTGGCAGCTACGTGTTAATTTTCTAACCAAATCTAAATCATTTTTTTTAAGTGCATTTGTAACTAAAAGTGATACCGAATCTGATGAGTTTTTTGGGAACAAAGCCTTCTGCAAAAGGAATCCCAGGTACAAGTCAAGTGGTCACAGCAATCTCTGGGTTCAGGGAAAACCCTAAGCTCTGCTGAAATGGCGCCACAAAGTAGGTGTCTGTCTCTGCCTGACTCTGCCTCACTGTTATGACTGCAGCCTCAACCAAACCAGTACACCCCAAAGACGGCAGACAACGGTATTAAAAATACTCCTACAGCTGGGCTCCACCAAGACACTTTGTTTTGTAAAATCACTGAGGATCATTTGCCCGGGGTGCAACACCCTCAGTACATCTTCAGCTTGTCTACATAAGTAGTCATTACTCATTTCCAGACTGGGCATCTCCTAGGTGGCACAGGCAGTCCCACTCAAACACCAGAGGCCTGTGAAGAAAGGCCGTGGGCTAGCTCTTCAGCAGAAACCAACTGCACCCCCCACCGTCCCCAGAGTACCCCCCCACACACTTCACTGCCCTGAGAAGGCTAAATTCCCGAGCCCAGTAGTCATGCTTTTGAGAGTCTTGGCTTCTGGGTTAAGGAGCAGAGGGACATAGGTTCTGTTTCCCTCCCTGTTCAGGTCTAAGGCTTCGGCCCATTTGCTCTCAGCCAGTTTCAGAATTCAAGGCTCTGGGGTCCAGGTTTCTGCAATGTGTGCTGCAGCCCCAGCTTCCCTGTCTTAACCTGCTGGGTTCAAAGGCCCCTGAATTCCCCTTATTTTCTCAGGAGCTCAGCTTTGCATTTAAAGTATGTTTGCGGGACTTTGACTTCCCAGTGGGATGGAGTAGCTAGAAAACCTGTACTCTCACCAAGAATGAGAAAAGCCAGGCAAGATGACACAAGTCAGCAATTCAGAACTGCTAAATGGAAGAAACCAGAAAAGCTATCTCATGGCCTTTCTCAGGATTTTGAGAGAATTAAGCCCTACAAAAAATAATCGGAGTGACTATTTTCTCAACTTTTCCAAGGACAGTACAGGTCTACTACCATCCTATAAGCACAGGAAAGAAATTAATTCAACTTAATATGTGGACCGCCTGAGTACATCAGGGTCTGATTCTGTGGCAGAATCCCCAGCGGAGCTGAGCTGCAGAGACGAGGAGAAGCAAGGGATGGACTGTAGGCATGACACTGGGTGGACAAGCCTCGTCCACAGGACAACTGCAAATGCAGGCTTGGGAGGTGTGACAGGGTCACCCCCAGAGAATAGAACTTTCCAGCCACTGGGGGAGGCAGGTTTAAGGAGCTTCTGGAGGTCCCTGGTAACTGTTCCCTGCAGGCTGAGCAGGGTGTGTTTACACGATGAAAATGCACTGTGCTGCCCACTTAAAATGAGTAATTTATAGCATGTACACTATGCTCAAATTTAAATTCTAGAACCATGCTTTCTAACTTATCCAGCATACAGATGCTCTGCAGTAGAACAGAGCCTGGTAAGGACTTTTACACCCATTTGAGTCTCCAGAATGCATGCTTTCTAGTTGTTTTTGAGAAAATATTTCAGCAGTTACAGCAAGTTTTTGTCCACATAAATAGTACATTCATTTCTTCTTGTTTCTTATTTTTATTTTATCATTTGAGGACACAATGCCGTTAAAAAACACATTTTTTGATTCATATTTCACACAATCATCATGGCATCACTACTCCTAGTTTCTGCACTTTCCCAGAACTGGATTACGGCCAAGGACTTGACCTATATTTTGGCCCTCACTCAGCCCACAGGACTAACAATACCCTGTGATCTGGATAACACTCACTTGGAGGAGAAACGACACCCAAGACAATGCAAATTATGGAAGACGTAAGGTGAAGATTTCAACACAGGTATGATATGCAAGTTATTTTCAAACTACTTCCAACATGGGAAAGACATTGAGACAGTATCATTAAATGCAAAGAACAGAACCCAGACGTAGTCACAGCTACTCAGGAGGCTATTCAAGGCCAGCCTGGGCAACTTAGTAAAACTCCATCCCAAAATGATAAAATAAAAGGAGTGGGAATACAGCTCCATATAGAGCACCCTGGGTTCAATCCCCACTACAAAAAAAAAAAAAAATCTAAACTATAAACAAAAAGATAAGCATTTATTTATTTATAAAAAACGTGAAAGAAATTCACTACTGAACTATGAAATGGTTGGGGCCAGTGGAATCATGGGTAATAATTTTTCTTTATACTTTTCTATATTTTCAAAATCTCTAACAATGTTTATGTGAATTATAATTGGAAAAACATCAAATGCTATTTTTATTTATCTATTTTTAAAAATTTTTTTAGTTGTAGTTGGACACAATACCTTTATTTTATTTATTTATTTTTATGTGGTGCTGAGGATCGAACCCAGCACCTAGGGGCGCTCTACCACTGAGCCACAACCCCAGCCCTCAAATGCTATTTTTACAGAAAGTATTATCATTACTAGTAATATCTGCATGATATTACTGTATATGTATACATGATATTACATGTATAATCTAACATCTCCATGTTAAGTCATCATGCCATCACATCCAATAAAGTAGAAATGGAAGGGACCTTGTAAACTGTGCCTCACCAGACAACCCAAATACCAAGAAGCCTTGAGACAGAAGTGATCAGGAAAGGTACACATTCCATCACTCATTCAGGCAGGGTGTGGATCAAGGTAGGGTACCTGCCTGGCATGCTCCAGGCCCTGGGTGTCATCCCCAGCAACACAGAAATAACAGAAAACATCCCTTCAACCAATTATATTTATTCAATTCAATGTAAATAAACAAAGACTTATAGAATACCACAAGGGCAGAGGACCAAGAGGTGAAAAATACTCGGTCCCTAGAAATCTAGAAATCTCCAACAGCCACCAGGAACAGGGAAATCTTTCCTTTCCCTATAGGGAAGCCAGCAGCTGGGCACTCTGGAACCAGTGCACGGTCACTCGGGCAGCATCAGGGGAGGCAGGATCCTCCGCACTCCCACTTCTCCTTCCAAATGCTCTCCTAGAGCGCTGGGGTAGAGCTCGGTGGCACAGCACTTGCCTAGCATGTGCCAGGTCCTGGGTCAAGCCAGAAATACAGCAAAACACAGACATCAGATACCCTCCTGCAAGTGGCAGCAGTGTCAGTTCCCTGATGGCATGAACCAAAGCAAGAGAAAGCACAAACAAGGACTTGTCAAAGTGCCATGGGACTACTGAGTCACATCTCAACATCCACCTGTCACTTCCATTAGCACTGAGGCACTAGACAGTCTGTGCTTCCCCAAGATCAGGACTGCCAGCACCTCACCCTGCACCTGGGACTGCGCTCACAAGCCCTGCCCATCACATACACTCCTCCTAAACTCTGCAGGGCAGCTTCTTATGCTCATTTTACAGATGAGGAAACAGAGGCTCAGAGAAGTAAAACCTGCTTAAAATCACAAGGCTACTAGGTGGCAAAAGCAGTATTCTAGTTCAATTTAAACTCAAAACTTGTGATTTTAACCACAACATACTTTTTCTAACCAAATAAACAGTATATCTTTTGTTTTGCTTTGAACTTTTTTCATTATACAGAAGTTGAAACACCAACTCACAGTCAATTCTGTTCCTCACACTCTTCCTCACCCACAAATGCTTAACTACTGAGATGCAAACCTCATATACCCTATCACCTCATCTATCAATATTTCTGTGTGTATCTGTGATAAGGGCTTTAAAAATAACAGTATCATAAACTATCTGTTGTTGTTAAGTCCCCCTCTGAGCCACATGCCTAGCAGCCCTTTTTATATTTTATTCAGAGACAGAGTCATTGCCGAGATGCTCAGGGCCTTGTTAATTTGTTGAAGCTGGCTTTGAACTCACGATCCTCCTGCTTCAGCCTCCTGAGTCGCTGGGATCACAGGCGTATGCCACCATACTCGGCTCATAAACTATTCTTTTTTTTTTTTTTTTTTTAAAGAGAGAGTGAGAGAGAGAGAGAGAGGGGGACACAGAGAGAGAGAATTTTAACATTTTTCTTTATTTTTTCTTAGTTCTCGGCGGACACATCTTCGTTTGTATGTGGTGCTGAGGATCGAACCCGGGCCGCACACACGCTAGGCGAGCGCGCTACCGCTTGAGCCACATCCCCAGCCCTTCATAAACTATTCTTAATTATAGCAAGCTGCTTATCAAATTATTAAAGCTGCTCATCCATGAGAAGTCAAGATTGCAAAAAGAACATAAAATGTAGTACTGGGATGTGGCTCAAAGGCAGGTTGCTTGCCTAGCATGTGTCAGCCGGGTTCCATCCCTAGTACCAAATAAATAGTGCAGATTTAGGCCTTCATTATGCATGCAATTTTTCCTCTCTTCTTCTTTCTGTATTTTTTTTAAATTTTCAAAAATTTTTTTAGTTGTAAATAGACACAATACCTTTATTTTTATTTTATTTTTTTAAATTTTTATGTGGTGCCAGGGATTGAACCCAG